CTGACTTTAGTGAGTGCTGCTGAGAAGTGACATTGCATCTAAGCCTCACCCGAAGTGCAAGTTGGTTCAGTCTGACTGATAGACTTAGGCTACTGATATTTGATTGTACCCAAGGGAAACCTTTTTCCCCCAGTACTGGGAACTGAATCCATGGCCTCTGCCCTGAGTTACAACCCAGCCCTTTTTATTTTTCATTTTGAGACAAAGTCTCACTAAGTTGCCCAGGCAGGATTCAAACGTGTGATCCTCCTGCCTCAGCCTCTTGAGCCACTGTGATTCCAAAGAGAAATTTTTAAGGGTTGAATAGTGTCATGATGTTGAAAAAGTTCTGCATTTTAGATTTTTAGATTAGGGATGGTCAAGCTGACATAAATAGATCCTATGTTGGGTAATACTTCTATCTAAAAATCCTCAAAGATCTGCCAGGCGTGGTGGTGCAAGCCTGTAATCCCAGCAATTTGAAAGCCGAGGCAGGAGGATGGCAGTGAGTTTGGCCTGAACTACATAATAAGAGCTTCTCTCAAAATAAAACCAAAACCAAAACCAAACCAAACAAAAAAAATCCTCAGGCATCAAACTTTTGGAAGAACATATATTTTTTTTTTGAGACAGGGTCTCACTATGTAGACCAGGCTGGCCTTGAACTCACTGTGTAGCCCAGGTTGGGCTCCAATTCACAGCGATCCTCTTACCTCAGCTTCCTAAGTGTTGGGATTACCGGGGTGCAACACCACGCCCAGCAGAACACACACTTTTTATAAAGAATCAATTTTTACTTATATTCTCAAAACAGAGTAACTTTGTTAGTGATTATAAGTGCAATACATGCTTCCTATTAAAATTATCAAACACTACAAAACGTCATTATGTTTACATCAAAATTCCCTAATAATCATACCCTTTAAAGCCACTTACTGCTAGTAGGGGATGGTGGTACACACCTGATATCCCAACACTCTTGGGAGTCTGATGCAAGAGGACCACAAGTTCAAGCCCCACCAAAGCAACTTAGCGAGGCCCTGTCTCTTTATTTTTTATTATTTATCTTTTAAAATTCTTTTAAAAAAATTTCCAGCTTGGTACAAGACCCTGTTTCAAAATGTAAAATTAAAAAAGGTTAGGGATGTAGCTCAATGGGAAAGGCCTTGGGTTCAATTCCCAGTACCACCAAATCAACTGAAGTATTCACTGTTTATAATTTGGTATATACCCTTCTAAACTTTATAAATGTCTAAACTTCTTACTAGGCAGCTTAGGCTGTCCTTCAGCTCACTATGGAACCCTGGCATGCACCACCACGCCCAGCATCTTTCTAAACTTTAATGTACAAACATACTTTCATACATTTTTATTTTTTGTACTGGGAATCGAACTCAGGACCTTGCACTTGCCAGGCAGGGGCAGTGCCACATCCCCAGGCCCTTTCATATATATTTTTTTTTTTTGGTACTGGGGATCGAACTCGGGTCCTTGCACTTGCGCAGCAGGTGGCGAAACCACTAAGCTAAATCCCTGGTCCCCCTTTCATATGTTTTTAATTTAGAAAAAAATCATCAGTGTTTTAGAAGAAATCATCAATGCTTTATAACATGCTTAACTCATTTTACATTATAAGTATCTTTCCACGTAATACCTAAGATTTATCCTTTTTTAAAAAAAATTGCATTGTACAAAAAAATTGAATTGTATACTGCATTGTACACTGTACAAATAACAAAAATTTACAAAAAATACTCTACAAAAAACATACTGTTTCTTTCTTACTATATCCTCATGATACTAATGACACCAAATGAGGTATTTTTCCACACCAAGCAATTCTCTAAATAGATGTTCTAGAATTCAATTAAATTCTGATTCTTGCTACCTGGAGGTCGTGTCAGATCCCACAAGTCAAAGACTTAATCCCATAATCCCATTAGACTGATCCCACTTCAGACACCAAAAAAAAGTCCCATGTCATAAACTGTGCTTCTGATGACCAATTCCTACTGTCTTTATTGTGAGTTTGATAATTTGCTAGGATGGCTCACGAACTCAAGGAAACCCTTTACTAACACTTATCAAATTATTATAAAGGATACTGAACATCAAGGTGAAGACATGCATGTGGCAAGGAGTGGGAGAAGGAGGCACAGCTCCCATGCCCTGAGACCATCTTCCTAGTAGTACGTCCCTATGCCCAGCATCTTGGAAGCTCCTCAGACCCCTGTCTGAGACCTGTTACTGGGCTTGATCTCCAGAACCTGCCTTTGTGCCCTTTCTGGAGTCCAGTGAGTAGGGCTGAAGGTTCCAACTCTGGAATCCCTTAGTCTTGTGACTGGTCCCATCTTGACTCATCCATCTAGTAGCACCACCCAAAATCAACTATGTAGCATAAATCCTGGTGCTCTCAAAAGGTTCAAAAGACCCCATTGCTTAGGAGATTCCAAGGGCTTCAGGGGACAGGTGATAGGAACAGAGACAAAGACCAAAGTATACCACAAATACCCTTTGTTCAGCATTTTCTAGGTTTCCGAAATTATGAATAATACTGCAATGCATTTCTGTAGCTATGATGTATTTATCCATGCCTCTACTGTTTTCCTTAAAATAAATGTCTAGAGACAAATCAGGTGTTTAAGCCTGTGTTGCCCAATATGGTATTTACTACCCACATTAACTATTTAAATAAAAGAACACTTAGCTTCTCAGCTGTACCAGCCATTTTTCAGTGCATAACAGCCAGAGGCTATTAAAATCGCACACTGATTTCCTTAAAATCACTGATGGCATAAGAAGTGGAACAATGGATCCCTGGTTTGGTAGGGAAAAGGAATGACTGGTTGAGTGCACACAAAGGGAACTTCCCACATAATGCAGATGTTCTACACTTTGACAGGGATATGAACCGGACCTGCTAGAACTGATATGCTGTTTCACCATATATAAATTATACCTTTACTTTTTTAAAGGAGGAGAAAAAAAGCAAGAAGTATTGTGATAACATTGAATTTTTAGGCAATACAATAACTATCTTAAAAATATTTATAGAGGGGCTGGGGATTTAGCTCAGTGGTGCTGCCACCTGCCTCCCAAGCACAAGGTCCCGAGTTCAATACCCAGTACCAAAAAGAAAAATTATAGAACTTAAAAAGTGATTTCCTGCCTTAGGAGATCAAAATGTTTTACTAAATTGAGTGTGGGGAGAACAGCATGAGGTACATCAAGTCAAACCATTCAACTGATAAATCCTGATGGCACTAGAAAATTGACACTATCAAGGCAAGGCTTCTTAAAGTATCAAAAACTGGTAAGTTTTTTGTTAAGGTTTCTATCTAATGGTCCCCTAAGGCCTCACGTTCTCATAGATGGGGAGGTGAAAGGCTACTGGGAAGGGCTGGGTCACTGTGGGAGTGGCCTGAAGAGCACACACCCTTCCCCATTCCTGGATCCCTTGCTGCTTCCAGCCTGCCTCTTCTTCTGGCCTTGGAATCATGCACTAAAACCTGTACAAATTGTGAGCCAAAGTAAACCTTTCCTTCTTTAAATTGTGGGTGTTGAGTATTGTGGCCCAGCAACAAGAACTAAGACAGTTTTTAAAACAGATACTTAACTAGTGTTTTTAAAAACCCTGCACTAGCAATAAGAAACTCACTTTAAGAAAATCATTTTTCTAATGTTGTAAAATAGTACTTGATTTAATTTTCACAGATATATTTGTTAAACTAATGATAAACTTGGCTCATTTTTGCCTTTTAATCCTCCTTTTCTGGTGGCACACATGAACCCACACGCTAATACATTTGCACCAAAGCCAAATGATTTGATAATGAAAAATGCCTAAGGCAAGATAAAGAAAAGCTACTTCTCCCCATCCAATGGTACACCACACTGCACATTTATTATCTCAACCCACTGCCATTCTAGTTTGTTCACTGAGTGAGCTCTTTAGGAACATCACCCACAATCTCATTTCAGTTCTTTGCAAACAAACCTAGACATTATGGTAACTCTTCAGACAGACTACCTTGCTTGTGAGGTTAGAACGAAGGATATAAAGAGGACACCAAGGCTTCTGTCTCCAAAAGAGAAGGTTTACCTAGTTAAGGGTATGGGGCCAAGAAGCAAGAGTACATTTCACTAGTGTTACCTGCTTTTGTAGGAAGATCATGTTTTTGTTATTAAATTCTACATAATACTTTAGATTTGGGATCAAACAGATCTGAGTTTAAGAATTCTGTCATTTATTAACTGTAAGATTTTGAGCAAGTTACTTTCTCACTCTAAGCTCTGCTTCCTTTTGGGGAAAGTAACAATATATATCTCAAGGGTACACAGTGAGGACTAAATTAAAACACAAGTAACATTTTCAGCTCAGTGGCTGTATGCTGTAGGTGCTCAAAAAATGACAGACTATCATAATGCTGTTCCATGAGACCCAGTCAATGTCTTCTGTAACCAAAATGCCATCAAGATATTCAAACAGTCATATTTTGCTAGCAAGAGATTAACGTAAACCATGATCCTAAACAGTCTTAAAAAATGTTCATTATGGAATTGTTAAAATGGTCATAAAAAAACTAAAAGGTATACATAGACATAAGTGCTTAAAAACATGAAGTATGAGAGACCTAAAGTATGAGATAAAGAACTCCAAGTTTGCAAAAAAAAAAAAAAAAAAGGAAATTTCTTTGTTAAGCAGGGCCAGTGATTTAGCTCAGTGGCACTGTGCCTGGCTTGCAAGCACAAGGTTCTGAGTTCGATCCCTAGTACCAAGGGGGAAAAAAAGCAAAACAAAACAAAACAAAACAGTTCTCTCTTTGTTAAGCAGACATGCTCAATGATTCCCCATCATGCTAATGATTTAACTCAGATCCATCACTACTAAAGCAATAAAGAGGTCACAAAGTAGCAAATTACTCTTTATACAGTCGATGAGATCTATTATACAGGATCAACCTCACTTACTACTTTTTAACAGCAATTTAAGAGGGAGATTATGCATAATAAATATTTACCTGTTTCTCTTCTTCTGGCATATTTTTTTCCAGTTCTGTTAAGTATTCTTCATCTAGTTCAGAGGAATTCACATCATCATCAGCTTTGTTCTGAACCTTATCCACTCCTGGCTCCTCCTCAAATGAGGCACTGCAGTCATGAAAACATTCTTCTTCTCCCTGCTCCTCATCATCCTTGAGCAGCTTGCTCCGAGAATGCTGATCTTTGGGATCAGGAACTGCAGGTCTGGCGCACTCTGCTTCCTGGGGATCTGTAACCTTCAAACCACTGAACAGATCCTCTGGAACCTTACAGTTCTCTGACTTCTCCGCCATGCTGAATTCACTTAGGGAGGTGAGGCTGAAGCTCTGGGAAAGAAAAAATATCTGTTAATGGTACTTACATTAAAAAGAAATTCTAAACCGGGAGTGGTGATGAACGTCTATAATCCCAGCATGTGAGAGGCTGAGGCAGAAGGATCACTGTGCGTTCTCAGCTAGCACATAGGGCTGACTTCAAGACTGGCCTGCACAACATAATAGGTTTCAAAAAACCAAAAAAAAAAAAAAAAAGAAAGAAAGAAATTCTGCCTTTCATACCTTAACAAACCGCTGCATCAAGGCCCAAAATACACCCTAACTTCCATTCATTGGAATTTATTATTTAATAAATAATCATTCATAAACCATAAATAAGGTTCATTTTAATCGATATGCCTTTCATGGTATCTCACACCAAAACATCTTACAAGCAACAAGAGACAGACCTAATTTTTTCCCTCGGTGCTGAGGATTGATCAAATCCAAGGGCTACAACTGGGCTATTCCTCCAACCCCTAACAAGAGACCAATTTTAAGGTGACTCTTCCATATCCCAAGCTCACGTTTTGTCGAGGTCTATTATAAAAGAGGAAAAAGGGAGAGGGGCTAAAACAGTGGCAAGAAAAATGAAATGGTTCTAATTTTTATTCAGAATAAATGACCAAGTCGTGCATAAGAAACTACGGTCCATCTTTGCCAGCACCACCACCTGAATCTCTAAAATAACTTAAAAAAAAAAAAAACTTTCGTTGATCTCAAAATGAGATCTGTGCCAAAACCCTGATAACTGCTTTGACAGAAATGCACGCGGCAAAACCAACGCAGCTAACAGCGGAAGGAGAGCCCGGGAGCTGGTAGTGCTAATCAGGATCCTTGTGGGGGTAGAAATCCGGCGCTCAACCTTCGCTACGTAGTCACATTGGACTGGTTTAGAAAATCTTGCTGTACAGACCCTGTCCAGATTCTGACTTTATTGGTCTGGAGCTGGGCCCGGGAACCTATAGTTTGCTGTGCAGCCAATGAAGGACCACCGGTTTGGCTGAGTCAGACCGTCCGCAGTCCCGGCCATTTGGTTGCAGCAAAATCACGCCAATGATCTGTCTGTCGTGACAAGAGTCCGAATTCACCCCAGCTTCCTAGAAAACGTAAAGCACCGAGAGCAATATGAAGCTTTCGCCTCCAAGCAAAGTCTCGTTTCTCCCCGCCCCTAGATCAAGTAGAAGAACGCGGGAGTTTGAGTACCCGGAGTTAGCGAAGTGTTAACCTGCGCTTCCCGGTAGCGTATCCCCTACCTACATTTTTCACTGCCAACCCCCCCAAACCCACCGGACTACTCACAGCCTCACTGCTCCTCCAGCTCCCACCTTCCAAGACTGAGAACTTCTACTTCCGTTCAATCGGGCGCACTTCCGTCGGAGACGACTAAAGGCGTCATTGTTGGCAAAGCATCCTGGGAAATGTAGTGGCCAACTCAGGGAGAAGTCACTGTATGACGTCATTGTACGGACCCGGGAAAAAAAAGAGAGCGAGAGATAGAGAGACGGTTGCCATCTTGATTTACGGCCACACTCCGTATTATTACCGCAAAACAAACAAAGTCTGTCCTTGCCGTTTTATTCTTTCACTCTGACCTTTCTCGTGCTAGCGCTGTATAGAAGAACTTAGAAATATAATAAACAGTTGTCCCAAGATAAAGTTTCTTTTCCTCCAGTGGTTTTCAAAGTTCCTTTCAAGGGATCCACCGCAAGAATTATTTGCCTCTTGCCTCAGCCTCCTGGTGTAATCATTATTATTAATGAAGGTCTCATACATATTATCATGATTATGATAAATTATTAGTAGCGACAGTAATTTTACGATTGCTGTTGTTATTAGTGATATTAATAGAATTAACATTCCTGAAGATTTCATTGATGCCCCTAGAAGACTGAGCACCTAAGTTTGTTGAAAAAATGGATGCTGAATATGAATGAATGCTAGGCATCCTACTGGGTCCAGTGGTGGTGAGGTAGGAGATTAGGGCTTGGCAAAATCAGGGCTGGGCAACCGAGTATGACCTGTCAATCATGGAAAGCTGTCAAATCATGGCCAAGACGCATACTCAAAACAGCTTCAAAATCCTGGGTGGGTCAGCCAGGATGTGACATCAAAGGAACCTGTAAAAGACACCAGCGCTTGGGACTCCTCACCACTGTCTTCCTGTTCTTGCAGTGGCCCATCCTGTGTGCAGGACATATCTTCTCTTTTTTTTCATTTCCTCCCCTTTTCTTCAATAAACGTTAAACTGTTACTTTTATCAGTTGTCTCCAATTCTTTTTTAAAATTAAGTTTATTGATACATTTTAGATATAAAATACAATTACATTCATCATTGGGATCTTGTACCATTACATGATATATCTTGGTTCTTATTTTTTCCCCTTCCCCTGACCTCCCTTCACCCCCTCCACCCTTCCCTATTTGCAAAGATTTTGGTTCCATTTTTTTCCTTTTCTCATATTTTTTCTTTTCCCTTCTTTCCTTGCCCCTACCCCTCCCATTCCCCTGCTCCTTTAGACCTTTTCCTTCTATTACACAATATCAATTATACATTTTTAAAATTACAATATCAAAATTTAGAGGACATTACCACAGATTTTACAGAATTTAAAAGGATATAGAAAGCATATTTCAAAAATCTGTTTTGAAATAAATTTGACAACTTCTAAGAAGTACCTTGAAAGAAAAATTAATGAAACTGACTCTGGAGGAAAAATAAAATTCGAATAGCACCTATTGAAGAAAATCTACTCATATGACAATAACCGACTCATACACATTTTAACTGATGAATTATATCAAACATTTATATCAGAAAAAAGAAGGAACACTTCTCCCCTCATTTTAGGAACTCAACATTGTGCTAACCCTAAAACTGGATAAAGATAATAGGAGAAAAAAATATGAACATAGATAAAATTTTTTTTAACAAAACAAAGTATTAAAAGTCAGATCTGGCAG